GATATTCATGTATTGACAGGGCTGTATTTTTTCACTGTTTCACTTTAGAAACATAAATCTTTCCACAGATGATGTTTATATGTTGGTTACTGAATTTCTGGAATCAAATGTTAACTGAGGCATATTTTTAAAAGGGTTATATGCTAAAAATTAAAGTCTCAGTAACTTTGACACAGTAATATCTGCTTCAATATTTACACATTTGATGAAATCGCACAAGTGTTAGCTTTATTTTGATACCAAGATTGTAAGGACAGAGTTTGTAATTGCAGAGAAATAATCAATTAAATTTGGGCATTACATTTTTGAGCAGGAAGCTCAGAAACCCCCGTGGGGCTTAAGAGGTTAAATGTAGTTACAATAAATTACAAATAGCAATTCCATTGTTATATTAATATTGTTTCTTGCAAAAGAAGTGTTCAAAACAGACACGTCCATGTTAAAAAATATCTCACGCAAAATAAGAGAAAAAACAAGCCATACAAAAATGTCTGGGAGATCAAAATAAATACATGAACTCAAATTGTCATGGCTGTGTGCAGGCAGGCAGGAAGAGAGGACCCAAAATGCAGGACTCACGAAGGCAGAAGTAACTCAAAATACTGAGCTTTATTGCTGGGAAGAAACTGAACAAAAGACTAACTAGACTGGGAGAATGGAACAAACTAAACAGGTTGGCAGGCTGGCAAACAGAACACACAGTGAAAGAGAGACGCAGACACTCAATACAAGAGGTGAACAGAGCTAAGAGGAAACAGCTGGGAGACACAGCTGACGCTGATTACACTGATGAGAGAGGGAGAGCACAAAGCTGAGCGCACAGACCTACAAAGTAAAACAGGAAGTACACGACAGACAGAGAGATCAGACACAGAACTAAACAGATGCAGACTCATGAGCAGACAGAATAACACCATGGACAGACAGAAGGAGCACAGAGAAGAGGGAGCACAGAATAAACACTGGGAAACCAAATAACAAAACTTAAAAACAAGAACTTAGGAAGTACTGCCAAACTAGGAAGCTGAAATACTAGGACAGAAACCAAAACAAACAGTCATACTTTATAACAGAATCAAAAGTACAAAACCAAAAACACTGGGTCACCGATCCAGGACCGTGACACAAATACTTGCAGGCTTTTACCAACAAGTTGTCCTTGAGCCAGAAACTAAAACAATGTTAATGCAGAGGACAGAAAGTTCAAATTCCAAAAAGCTGCTGTTAAGCAAAAGCACACTGATGGCTTCATGTATTCTAGTTAGTTTTAAACTATCACCAATACACAGCACAACTTTACAAATAAATAACAGGGCAAACTTGCTCTTGAACTTGATTCCAGCCAAATGCTTCAC